TGGACTAATGTATACTGAACATAGGGCATATTCAAGTCTTTCATATCCTAAGAACATCTCAATTGTGCCAGTAAAGGCCCGTCTGTAAATCTACCCATGCAATTTTTTTTAATTGAGAAGACATATAAAGACATATACAGTCAGCATGAAAATACTTTAAACTATTTCATCTACTCAACAAAATTATTCTATTGAAGCTAAATAAATAGTCATCGAATTACCACCCAGAAGAGTTAACAGCTGCTTCTATTTAAGGCTTTCCTATGTGCCTCTACTGTCCCCTCCCTCCTCCACCAAGTTAACCCAGGAAAGAGAGAGCGGGATTAATTTCAAGAGCTCTTTCTTCCTGCTGGGCACTGGGAAATGATAGAATGGGAAGCAGCTGCATTTCCTGAGCTATTCTGTCTCTCTTCATTATTTCTCTCCCTTTTCTTTTCTTCCAATAGACTCTTCCTTTCCTTACACAATCTCAATTAGTTCTCAGGCTTATAAATTACATTTATATCTTGACACGTATAAGTACATCTCTAGCCCAGACTCCCTCTACTGAGAACTCCAGGCTTTAGTATCCAACCTACAGGATATCTCAAGCTTCATGTGTGCAAAACGGAATTCCCAGCAATGGAGCACCACACCACTTCTCGCTTTAAGTGGAATCACCGCTCATTCATTTTTAAACCCACAACCTAGATGTTTTTCCTTGGTTTGTTCTTTTCTCTTACCTCAACATTGTATTCACTCTTATGGGAAGTTCTAACAATTCTACTGCAAAATATACATCAAATCCATTCTAGTCAAGAAAACGGCAGTCTCTCAATTGGACCCTTTTATATCAATTGTATGACCAAGTTATCATTACTTTCATCATTTTAATAACTTAATTGATTTTTATTAATTGTGTAGATTGTATTACAGGAAGTAATTAAAAGATTCTTTATTAAAAAATTAAAGGTAAATAAATGAATAATTGAAAGTGTTTCTAAAAAGGAAAGAAAAGTTTCTTTCCAACTCAGAAATGACTCTTCTGAGACTTTGCTTTATTTCTATATTTTCCTGACCATTAACAGTCTGTTTTTGTTCATCCCTAAGCTTCCCTAAATAATATTTATATTTATTTCAGCTGCATTTTCATGTACACTTGAAATTAGTCATAAGGAATGTCATGGCATTTAAGCATGAGTGATGAATTTTTCTCAGAGACATTTGATTTTTTCATGATTGTGTATAGTTCCTAGAGCTCCATCTAAGCCTTTACTTACTTCAAAATCATAATACTATACATCCAGCTTCTACAGACAACTCACATTTTCAACACAGTAGGTTTAAAACTGAACTCTGTTAGCCCCAAGCTAAATTAAGTGCTCCTCACTAATACTGCCATACACCCGTGTAACCTCTTTTAACATGTAAATTGCATATCATAATTATTTGTTCATCTATATTCTTCACTAGACTTAAACCTCTTTAAAATCAGCCTCAGTGTTATTGTTAGTCTCCTCAGTGTTTAGGAACAGTCTATATGCTTTCTATAAACATATTTTTCAAATTAAAAAACTCACTTCTCTAAAATAATACAACAAAAAGTCATTGTTTTACCCAATTAAAATCTGCATCATGCTAAGAAGTATAACTGAGTCCTGAAGGCAATTTAAAGTTAGTCAATCAACATATATATATTTTTTCAAATATATTTTTATTGATTTCAGAGAGGAAGGGAGAGGGAAAGATAGAAACATCAATGATGAGAGAGAACCACTGAGCAGCTGCCTCGAGCCCACAACCTGGGCATGTGCCCTTGACTGGAATCGAACCTGGGACCCTTCAGTCCGCAGGCCAGTGCTGTATCCACTGAGCCAAACAAGCTAGGGCAATCAACATATATTTTAATGCCTAAAAGACTTGGTTTCCTCTAGCTAGATTGGGAAGGGTTCAATGGAACAGTATGTCAGTTGGACAATTTTGATTTTTGGCATACCAAACAGAAGGTATCAACAAAGAGTATTTGGGATGATAGTAAAGTATTTTATTTCAATGTTCTTTATGGAATTGGTCATCAGTTTTCTTCTGTTTCTCATTAAAGCTCATATCTATTATTCCATTTACAAGATGTCTTTAGATATTCAAAGACTTCATTAAAAAATAGTGAAATTCAGTAATGTTGTCAATGGATAAGATTGTTTCCCTTTAATATAGTACTCCAAAAAAGCCTCACTCCTTTTGCCTCCAAATATTGTCAACATCTTTGCTCTCTCTCTCTCTCTCTCTCTCTCTCTCTCTCTCTCTCTCTCTTAGATCATCCTATTAAAATTGTTTAGAGTTGGAGCCTGATATAAAATGCCACTTTCAAAATTACATCAACCACAACAGCATATAGAAGGCAACATTTTTTACAGTTTTCACAAGAGTTTCAAAGTCTGGTATTTTGCCTCAAATAATCATGGGAGGGGAAAAAACCCCAAGTATCCACTGGCTGTGTGAGCAAAACTAACACATGGGCATGTGGCTGGTGGCTGAATGAAGGAAACCTTAGGAATTAAGAAGGCAGCCTGAAATCTATATAGGCAATTGTTGGGCTTAGGGATTTTTCTCACTCCAATGGGGTCTAGGACCTATGATGTCTGGGAGATTGTATGAGGCCAGGTCTTCAACCCCATGAAGTCTGAAGTTAGAGTTCTTGCAGGGTATCATTTACACTATGCACACCATCGCCTAACATAGCACAAGGGTCTTTGGAGCCTCCATTTGGCAGCCAGCCATGATTCCCTGCAGCAGCATATTGTCAAGGCAGCTGCTCCTTCACACATACACATACACATACACATACACATACACATACACATACAAATACACATACACATACACATACTCAACCTGCTGCAGAAATTAACCCTTTCTCACCTACCAACACATGCACCGCCTTGTGTTCATACTATCCATCGGAATCTTATTTGATTCCTTGAGGACCCGTTGTGTGTCAACTCTCTTTATTTAATATCTCCAAGCTTTACAGCAACCCTATATGGTAGGTATTATGATCCTCAATTTCCAGATAATTCCACTAAGAGGTGGAATATCTTGCTCAAGGACTCAGACTAGTTTAAGCCAGAACTATAATTCAAACCAAGATCTGTCTGGTTCCCAAACCCTATTTGCATTAATAAATAATTATCTATTTATATACCACAGAAGGGTCTAAAGAAGGGGCAAAAGATTTTTTAAAGAGCAAACTCATAAGGTCATTAAGAATTTAGGTAAGTTCTATTATTAAAGACACAAGCCTGTTTTCATTATTACCAGAGCTGACTTGCTTGAGAACCATAAAAACCTCTGATTACTTAAAAATGTGTTTTTTAATCTCAATGACAGTTATAATTTAAATATTCAGTACTTTAGGGAAATAACATTTTAATAAAGCACTGAAAAGTTGTAGAAGTTCCAAAAAAAGGAAGGGCATTGCCAACAATGAGGTCAGAATGATGTATGTTAAAGGTCAGTTCCGTATCATCCAAAGGGCCAGCCTAGGTTGGCATTCTCTAGTGAATTATCAAGGCCTGCTCTAGACACTGACCTCAACTCTTTCATGCTGAAAGCTTGATTTGTGCCTGATACTAGAAGTAATTCCTATTAAATAAGAGATTTGGTTCCTCCAGACCAGTTTTTAGGTGAAAAAAAAATTAATAGATTGTTAGTTTTAAAATATTCAATTTAGGAGAAACCAAGTTGGCAACATAGGTAAACACCGGAAATTGCTGCCTCCCACAACAAATTCAAAAATACAACTGAAAGACAAAACGGACATCATCCAGAACCACAGGAAGGCTGGCTGAGTGGAAACTCTACAACTGGAAGGAAAGAGAAAAGCACACTGAGACTCAGAGGAGGTGTGGATGTGCAGAGGTACATAGGCGCATGCGGCAAGGGCTGGCAACTGAGGACGCAGCTGTCTTTTTGAATCTGGAGGGAGTCACAAGCTCCCGACTGCTCTGAACTCCAGTTCCGGGGAGAGAAAAAGAGAGAGAGACAGAACCACTGAATCTATGGAGCCTGAGCTCAAAACCTGGGATGTGCCCAAACTGGGAACTGAACCCGAGACCCTGCATGACCCCTCGGCACCCAGGCCCTGGCCGGGTCTGCATGTCTGGGTCCTTCAAGCGCTTCAGACACTGCTGGAAGCCGGTCCATCGCTGCAGGGAAGAAACATCTTCACAGCATATGTTTCAAGGGACCTGGCGTATATGGCATACTGTTCTTACTATGTTTGTTCCCCTTCTTGGCGCTATGTGTTTTAACCAAGGTCACCTCTCCGAGAAAGGTTGTTTCCCCAGGTAGGGATTCTTCCCTGAAGTTAGGGAGGGAATAAAACCCCTTAACTAAGTGCCAGGTGGATAGTTAATCACTTTAACTACAAACAATCACGCTTAAGCTACATAATCTTTACTCCCTGGAATGGAGATAAGAAACGCCCTAACCTTTGGAATAGAAATTGAAAGGATTAAAATCAACTGGTATAAATACTGATGTAACAAGACAATAAACACAGAACCTGGCTGGAGATCCTGGATAGAACCAGGCAGAGATCCTGGATAGAACCAGGCGAGAGAACCCAACCATGCTGGTCAACTGAAGGCTGCCTCTGTGTCATTCCTTCTTCACCAACTCCGTCCACACCTTTGGGAACCCCTGGACCTGCCCCAGGCGTTTCTCTCCCGGAAACCTATCTAAGCGGATTATGAAAAATGGATCAACCCTGATCTCTAACCAATCATAGGGTGAGGCGGAAACAAGAAGTAATACCCGGAGCAGGTATATAAACAGGCAGCTGTCAGCGCCTAGCACACAGTTTGTCAGTCCCTGCTGTGGGAGCTGCCGTGCGGGGGCTGCGGAGGCTGCGGAGGCGAACTGTGAACCTGTTACTGAGTCCATACTTTCCGTCGCTCTCCATCAGGAGCTGACTTCAGGCCGGGTTTACTCCAATCCCATTGGAGGTGTTCCCAGGGAATATGGCTACAGACCAGGCATTTTCCGATGGTCATGGGCACCCCCAGGGCAGCCTGGGCTGGACGCTGCCACCTGCCAGACGACCTCAGGGACACCTCACTGAAGGACAGCACTGGGACTCTGAGAGGTGGCACGTGCTATTTAGAGCCTTCCAACACTCAGAGGACGCAGACCCCCTCCACAGCTTGCACACAATGTCTGCACTCCTCCATCGCTGGCTGAGGCCGGATGTGCTCACCAAGAAGCAGATCTTGGATAAGCTTCTGCTGGAGAAGTTCATGATCTGCATGCCCCTGGAGCTGCAGGTCTTGGTGAAGGAGAGGTGCGTGCAGAGCTGCGAGGAACTGAAGGTCTTGCTGAGAAATAAGGAGAAACCCAGGAAATGGAAGGTCATCAGCTTCCAAGGGCAGAAGTACCTTCAGGAGAATTACGTTGTCCAGATGGCCGACGAGGAAGTCGGGGACACAGATCACATGTTGTCCCGATCCCCCATAAGTCAGACGGGGGTACATCCTGAGAACAGCCAGGAGGTCAAAGAAGAGCCAGGAAACAGTGACGTGCTGTGGGGACAGGGACAGAAAGTCTTCCTGCCAGAGGCGATTTCCACGAAAAATGATCTTGAGGGTGTGAGGCCCCTGGAGAATTTGGTGAAGTTGGAGAATGATGTGATGGAAGACAGAGAAGAGGCAGTAGTACTCACATGTCCAGAGCCTCCACTTCCCAGCAGTCCTGGAGATTCGGTGAAGACAGAGGGAGAGCAGAACCCACCAGAAGGAATTGGTCTGGAGCGTGTGGATGCCGGTGACGTCCCTCCCACCCAAGTTCCGGAGACACAGGCTTTGAGTCAGTGTCCAAAGAGAAGAGGTTCTGGGAATCCAGGAGGTGCCCCCAAGAGAAAAAGGGGCAACACTCCCACCCCCCAAGAGGAGCCTCAAGAAGGAGCCGTGTCCTTGGACAGAGGAGAAGTCACCAGACGGCACCAGTGCCATTCAGTAGGTGAATCAAGCACCGTGGAGCCAACTGGTCACCCTGTTTGCAAAGTATCCAGGAGAAAGATACCGTATGAGTGTCAAGACTGTAGCAAAAGGTTCAGCTACAAATCGCAGTTAGACCTTCACCTGAGGACACACACAGGAGAGAGACCCTTCCAGTGCCTTGACTGTCCCAAGAGGTTCATTCAAGCCTCAGACCTCCACGTCCACCAGCGGATCCACACCGGTCAGAAGCCGTTCTGCTGTAAAGTCTGCGAGAAGAGGTTCACCCACCAGTCCACGCTGCGTGGCCACCAGCGGGTCCACACCCAGGAGAAGCCTTATCAGTGCGCCGTCTGCCAGAAAAGGTTCGGCCACCACGGGAACCTCAAGGTCCACATGCGCACCCACTCGGGCCTGAGACCCTACCCGTGTCCCCATTGCCACCTGGCCTTCAGCCAACTGGGGAACTTTCAACGCCACCAAAGGACACATGTCAACGAGGCGCCCCAGGGGCCCCAGGTCCGTTCTGACCAAGAAGGACATTAACGGTTCTCTCTCCTGTGTGTGTCCTCTGATGAAGGTCTGAGATTTTTAATAGAACCTTTTGCTGCAAAAATGGTCTATGAGCACTTAGAGGGGGTTCTATGAATTAGAATTGGGGTCCTTGAGTAATTACTCATGTTCCTTATTGGCCCCAAATTCTGTTAGTCTTGCTGTTTGTTTCAATAAATATTTCACGATTCAACCCTTAAAAAATAATAATAAAAATATTCAATTTACTATTATAGTTAGAAGTAAAAAAAGGATTAGTTCTTTAGAGTTTTCAGTTCATATTATAAACCTTATTATCCCATTATAAAGCTAGCAAATTTTCAGTCACTTTAAAGGTGGCTTTAATTACTATCTGGAACCTTGTTAAACTCCTTTTAACATTTTTAATTGCATTAACACATTTAACATAATCATTTTCTATGCATATATATAAATTAACAAATTTCCTCAAGTATTTAAGCAATACTTACACAATTAATAAGTGAAACTTTAAAAATGGTTTCAAGTTCTCTTTTCTCCAGGTATTACACATAAAATTAACTATGTTCAGTCTAGATACACAATTCTAAATCAGTTCCCAATTAGACATTTTAAAATGGTGTTACAAGGTTGATCTGTTATCCTAACAGGTTAATGTCTCATATATTATAGATACTTAAAATAGCAAGTATGCACACATTAATTAATGTATAAATAGTATTACATTTTGATCCTCTTAAAATTTTCCACAATTAATTTTGATCTCCCCAGATATGAAAACTCTTTTCCACAAAGAAAATATACCATCTCACAAATTTTCAGTGTTATAGTCCAATATGATTGCTGCCTTCTCAGCTTCTCAATGACCTGAGGCTACTCCTAGAATAAGACTGGGTCCTGTCTGTGACAGGGATGGAACATACTTAACCCTGTAGATTATAGCAGACTGTATCAAGGACTTCAAAAGTGAAAGGAGGAAACTTCATGTGGCTCATATTCATTAGAATTGAATCACATCATTATGTAGTTTTAAAGTCAGGTTAGTAGACTCTCTAACACCCCACCAGGTGGTCATACCTTTTCATTGGATTTTTGCTTTCCTTAGTTTTGCTTTCTTAGTTCTTAAGACAACTAAATGTATTCACATCCAGGTGTAAAGACATTTGAACACAAGGCAACAGACGCTCCAACCGGTAAGTTAGCTTGCTGCTGGGACCTGGCCAATGGGACTGAGCGAGACAGGCTGGACATGCGCTGGAGCCCTCCCACGGTCCCTCCCCAGCTGGCCAACCTCCCGCATCCCTCTCCGGCCCCCCATCGTGCACCGGTGGGGTCCCTCGGCCTGGCCTGTGCCCTCTCACAATCTGGGCTGAGGGACCTCCCCCCATGAGTGTACGAATTTCATGCATCAGGCCTCTAGTTTGAATATAAGGCAATCTGCATTTTCTTGCATTCATGAAAGCACCTAACTCTTCTAGCACTAAAACCATATTGGATGGAATTCTGAAATGTCTTAGAGCTCACCACTTCCAAAGTCAGTCTATTGACAGACTCATGTCTTAAGAGAAAATGAACATTAACAACCAGGCTTATGGAAGTAAAGTATCAAAACAAAATGCCAATATTTTAATTTACAAAAAGAAATCTAACTGGTAAGGAATCCAGGCCCTTAAAATCTTCTGGTGCACAGATTATTTTCATACAAACAAGTTTTGTAAAGAGGTGAGTTATCATCTGAAGGTTATTTGGTGAGTATGGAATTAGAACGAGAAATTAAATATAAGATTTGGATAATTAAAGACAAATCTGATATAGAGGAGCCTCGTAGATAACATCCCTTCTACCCAAAAGTTTGGTACTAACTATAAGGCAAATAAAGAGTCAAACAGATGGAGCTCAAAATGTCAGCTTTACTACTGATGAAGGCTAGCCTACAGACACAGCTTGCTACTAAGAGCACTGGTCATACTTCTCCACTGAATTAGACCCATGGACAATTGTCACTGGGACAGCTGCTCAATCCCAGTCACCCCCACAGCCAGGCTCCTGACTACAGGGAAGTGGAGAGAGCAAAATGTACGCATCCTGTGGGAAGACTGGTTCACAAAGAGGCAAAAGAGAGACAGAGACAGAAAGGGTGGCGAAGAGTAATAGCTCTCTTCCAAATTTCATTTATTAGGTAAGACATTTTACCTCCTGTAAATCAGAGAAAGAAGAGTGTAGGATAATGACCCAGTTGAAAAATAGGTACTTTAATTGTCAAAGAAAAATGCAGTCACGTAAATACTGGAAGCCCAAACTTTATAGGTAATTTAGGGATTTTAAAAAATAAGGTTTTTTCAACAAACTTTTGAAAAGACAACGAAATCAAACTGCCACAAAGCAGGAGTAGGAATTATTGTACCTCTTAAGACTATCCTGAACCAGGGTCAGCTTTCCAAACAGGTGACAAGAATGCCAGTGGAAGCCCCTCGCTGCACACTGTCCAGGCCACTTCTTGCGCACCATCTATTACCTTTGTCGAAAATTCCTCCAATAGGATTCATTCTTCTGGGTTCAAAAACTCTATTAAAATGCCAGCTCTCAGAATATAAGCTAAACATTGCAAAAACCATGGCCTGAATTCCTTAAAAACTAGGATAAAACTTGACATTTGAGGAGGGACATACACCAGGAGAAATCTACCAGAAGCTATAAAGTGTGTCATTAAAATGGAAAATGCAGCAATCTATCTTTTCCCATTTTCTACTTTTAGTGTGCCATCCTCCAGCAATAATAAGACAAGGCATGTCAACCAGCTAGAATATAAAATGTAAAATGTAGATAGAGGCATTTCTAATAAATTGTAAAAATGTAATGTCCTGGCCAGAGAGGAGAGTGACAAGGGATTCTTGATGAAATAATATGAAAGCTAGATGTAATTTTTCAAGAAATGGGAACAAATACATGCAGTCTGTCATAAATCCTTGATCATATTTATGCCTAGTGTTTTATGATATTTTCCCCTGTAGTGCCCATTGTTTATTCATATTAATAAAAAAATAAGCTGAAATTAATGCCAAATGTCCTATGAAAATACCGCAGAGCTAAAACATTACTTACCCCCAATTACTCCTGCTTCTGCTCAAGAGAGTTTGAAAGCTTGATATCACCCAGTGGTATGTTTCATTTTAAGCAGCCTCATCTACTTTCATCTCTGTGCTATGTATAGCATGCCGAACTATCTTCACAAGATCAAAGGGAAACGCACTGTACTTTATTTACCAAGGCCAACTTCATGGGTAACCAAGGCACTTATTTTACCAAACTGACTAGTCCCTTTGAACTACCATCTTCACCGATCCACAGACCATGCTCAAACTGTGGGGAAGGCTTCCTTGAACCTGGAATATGTTCTTAGCCTCCTTGGTGCACTTGCTTTGAACTGCGTGCCATGGATTTTACTAAGCTATAAGAGCACAACAGAGGTCCCTTCAGGACACATGAGGGCTCAAGTCCTTAGAAAACAAAACCCAAGACAAATGGAACTGCACCAACACTGCAAAATTGAAAACATTTCATCTCAATACCAATAGATAAGACAGGGGTCCTCAAACTTTTTAAACAGGGGGCCAGTTCACTGTCCCTCAGACCGTTGGAGGGCCGGACTATAGTTTAAAAAAAAAACTATGAACAAATTCCTATGCACACTGCACATACCTTATTTTGAAGTAAAAAAACAAAACGGGAACAAATACAATATTTGTATTTGCATGTGGCCCGCGGGCCGTAGTTTGAGGACTCCTGTTATGATAAGAACATCTCATCCCAAAGTACATGATTACAATATTAGGTTTTTACAATAATTGACCCACTTATCTGTGTTTATCTGGCTATGGAATGGATTACAATGCTCACTTCTACGTTGATTTAAGTGGAAAGTGTTTGTTCTGTGTGTTCTGTTACTATAAAGGTGTATGTGAGTCAAGGTAATGCGATGAAAAAGAATATAGATTTAGGAGTTTTGCATTCCAATACACCAGGGGTGGCCCATTAAATCATTTGGTCAGGCCCTGCCAAGGCATTAGGGATGAATTAGTTAAATGTTTGGCCAAATATAGCAGGATAATTAAGTTGATAATTTTGCATGGCCCTCCAATGATGTTATAAATATCCAAATGGCCTTTGGCAGAAAAGAGGTTCCCCACCCTTGCAATATAGGAGGAATAGGGTGTTTTTTGCCTAAGTCGTTAATGTCTCTGAATCTCGGATTCCTCATCTTCAAACTAGGAAGTCCCCTTATGTGATAGGCAGCAACGCTGCTGGCCAGAATTTCTGGCTTTTATGCTTTGGGGCACATGAGGTTGCTCTTGCCCATTAAGGTTGGTCATGGTGCTATAACCTACTTTGGCCAACGAAATGTGAGTGGAAGTAACATGTCATTTCTGGGAAGAAGCATTAATTGGCATTATGAAACTTTATAGAAGTATCTTATTTTTCTGGGACGGTCTTGGGAGCATATGTTGACATGATATGGAGTTGTAAGTCTGAGCCAACACATGGAGGAGAACTGCCTTTGAGAATTACCTACATCTAAAGTCTTGCTGTTTTAAGCCACTGAGAGTTGTTACCACAGAGTAACCTACCCTATTCTGACTGTGGAATTAATGAAAGGATGAAGTAAAATAATAAAAATAAAGCCCCTAGCTGAGTGCTTAGATCATATTAGTTGATTCATATACACTGGTTCTCTTCCTTCTCTTTTGATCTTTAATCTTGTGCATTTTTTTTAAAGTAGGTCTTCTGTTATAAGCTTAGAATAATATCTATAATAATAAAAGCATAATATGCTAATTAGACCGGACATCCTTCCAGACAACCTACCGGATGAAGCTGTGGTGGCGGAGGCTGAGGCAGAGGTGGCCACCACGGTGGCAGGCGCTGAGCCCCTTGCACGAATTTCGTACATTGGGCCTCTAGTAAAGTGAATAAAGTTTCCCCTACACCCATTCTATCTTCCTCTGTTACCTTTGAGC